TGCTCATCGTCGTCTGCTTCACACATTCCTCTCCGCCTTTACGCCTCTTCGCCGGAATCTCGTCGCCTCCTTTCCTTCCAGGCAGCCGCCACTGGCCGATTCTGTCGTCCGCTCGTTTCTTCTACTGCGCGACGTCGAGGGGACACATATCTCTGTAGGATTACCTAAATAAGAAATAGACGAGGAGTATACGCTACGGTACGACGCATAGAGGCAACGACACACGAATGCAGCGATCGATGATTATGGGGGATTAATTGACTGTCCACGACCGATTTGTCTTGTTCGACGAAGCGGGCCCCTTGCTAACCGGTGGCGATTGACTTCTCGGAGGGAGTGGCCGAGTCCACATCATCAGCAATCCTCCAGCTGACGAAGTCTATCGTCTCGCTCCGCGTAATCTCGAGTCCGCCTAGTTCTAGGCTCGACTTTAATATCTTTAGCAAGCAAGCATTGTCCCAACCGACAAGTAGTCGGGCCATTTTTCAGGAATTCTACGCTATAGAACACCTTGCCGTTTCGACCTCGAACCGTCCTCCGGTTCGATAATTAGGCAGCAACATCATGGCTAGTCGTAGTGATGGCTCCGGCAGCGGCCAGGGCGATTACGGAGAAGATTGGGCTCGGGATCTGCGAATCCAATTCGAACAGCTGCTGAGGACAAAGCGATTAACCGAAATCGAGCAGTCGCGAGCGAATCGATCACGTCTGGACTCTCCAAATCCCCGAGAAAGAGCATCGTCATCAAACCTCCGAGTACCAGCGTCGCCCTCCAGTAGTAGTAATAGTAGACCATCTTCTTCTTACGGACCAAGCCACAGCAGCAGCTCTCCCGCGTTACCACCTTCGTACTCTTCCTTGCGTAACCTACCCAAGATTCCCACTCCGCCGTCGCCGCACGACAAAGAGTCGCAGAAATTTCGTAGCCTGATCCTGTCGCTGTCGCAGACGCCGACGAAATATGAGAACCCCGGTCTACTCGACGAAGCGCTCCAGGCAATTCCGCTGGATAGGATATACGGCGAAGCCGAAGAGGAGTCTCAGGTATTGCAGGCGCAGGCGGAAAGCATGGGTGACGGTCGCAAGCCAGAATGGGGATACCAAGATTGCGTGGTTCGGGCACTATTAAGGTGAGCCGACCTCTTAACTCAATTCCCCCAATTCTACTAAGAATTGACTCTCTAACCCGCTTCGATTGCAGATGGTTCAAGCGAACATTCTTTACATGGGTCAACAACCCGCCGTGCCCCGTGTGCTTCTCGCCAACCGTCGCAAAGGGCATGACGCAACCGACGCCAGAGGAAAACGCCTTTGGAGCATTGCGGGTAGAGTTATACGAATGTTCCAACCAGGCGTGTAGAGCATACGAGCGATTCCCGCGGTACAGCGACGTCTGGCGGTTATTGCAGACGAGACGGGGCCGATGCGGCGAGTGGGCTAACTGCTTCAGCATGCTCTGCCGGGCCGTTGGCGGCCGCGTACGCTGGGTATGGAACGCCGAGGACCACGTGTGGACCGAGGTTTATTCGGAACATAAGCAGCGATGGATTCACGTCGACGCATGCGAAGAAGCGTGGGATAACCCACGCCTCTATACTGAAGGTTGGGGCAAGCAGATGTCGTACTGCATTGCCTTCAGCGCAGACGGTGCAACCGATGTCACCCGCAGATACGTGCGCAAAAGTGAGCACGCGCTCGAGAGGAACAAGTGCCCCGAAGAGGTAATGCTCTATATCATGCAGGAAATCAAGACTATCCGGCGCGCCAACATGAGCAAGGAGGAGCGATTCCGATTAGAGAAGGAAGACTCGAGAGAGGATCGCGAGCTTCGAGGCTACGTAGTCGCTTCGATCACGCAGGCAGTTACGCGCATGGTTCCCGGCTCATCGAGCTCTACATCTAGCTCTACAAGTCGGCCTCCCGTCTCTTCTTCTGCTAGTGATGATCAAAAGCTGCCTGCCGAACAGCCCACCCGGCAGAGCGGTAATGCTGAATGGGTTGCTGCTCGCGGAGAGAACGGTCGGCGCAACCCACAATTCCAGGATCCGAGAGATCCACACCGAAGATAACGCGCTCTAAAAGAAAATACTGATTTTATCACTACCGATCACTAACGTCATGCATCCGCCTAATAATTAGAGGAACCGAAATATATACCCCAACATCCAGCATCTAAACCGGTAAACTTACCTGGCTTCGCCCACCTAGAACATGACGGCCGGCGTATTACCGACTCTCATTTGTCTAATATCACTTCTACCGCAGTCGAAGTACAGCTTACCCTGCATTCCCCTGCGGCCTGTACCTATCTACGCATCCTACTATCACGACGCCAGAATATGTCGTTCTCATTTGTGGCCCGCATCGTCATAGGCATTCTGGATTAAAATCACCGGCGCAACGGACCTATTTGGGCTGGGTAGCATTATATACATTTTTTCTTTGCTTTTTACTCGGGGGGAGAATGGTGAGGAGAACACGGGCTTCTCCTCGACCCGGCGTTCAGGTTATATAACTGCATGAATGGGCTGGACGGAAACGGGTTGACGAACGACAATGGTCACGCCCGGAGTTGGGGGCGTGGAAATCGTATGTACTATGAAAAGGGGCTGCGGAACCTGGCAAAGGACGAGTAGATGAAATCTGAGCGGGAGATGTCCTGCTGACTTTGTCATCGGCTGAGTAGCCACGTCGCAATTTGCATATGTGCTGTTTAAAGCATCGTCTTGGCCCAGAATAGACTCTGCCGCTGGTGCACTTTGATATTACATACGCCTGTGTTATTCGAGACTTGCGACGGTGATATTCAATTGATTGTCTGCTTTACGTAACATAGTAACGTGCTACCGGTGAAGTGGCTCTCGATCTCACACTACTTTACGTCTAGGTCGGTAGGTTTGTAATACGAAGCAAAAGAGGACTCCATCGCCAAGACTGGACTGTGTAACACGGAAGTGTAACTAATTACGATCGCACAAAGACTAGATCTATCGAGTTGTCTTTCGGACTTGACGAGCCATTCGTCTTTGTGTACTTGGGCTAAAATGGACACAAGATTACGTTACAAGTTAAAGATTGCTATAGTTATCCAGACTATAAAGGTTTACTTAGTTGATAGTTAATTGCTAAAAAGGGGGGAATTTGCCCGAGGCTGATGACATAATGCGATATACCAAAAATGCAAGCTTAGACTTGGAAACAATCGATATAACATTCCACGGATCAATGAAAGAAAATTAACTTTTAGCATGTTTCTCGTCTATTCTACTTATATCCACTGTTATTAGAGTATACATTGGTTGAGAGGCTATAAAATTGGTAAATAATAGTACCTACAACCACGGGATACATCTTTGAATTTTAGCCTTTTGACGTCACTTCTCCATGACGGAAGCGCCAAATTTTGAATTTGCTCTCTTCGTTAGACAACGTATTTGAAAGGTTGTAGGTAGGTATTGTTGATCTTATTCTCCGCACAGATATATAATGTTGGGAAATTATATTCTGCAAGTAATGTTTTCTCTCTGCATTGTTTTGCCCAACTTGGTCCCATTTGCAAGATGAGCATGTTCGTTATGGTTTTGCCCTATCTTGCTGTGCTCCCATTTAATGCAATGTAAGGACATCTTTCTAGCTTAGCTAACATGTTGGCCGTGTCTTTTAATCGGTCTTGTCGGGTGTCTAAAGACCTATAATATAATAATGCTATCATGAATGCGATCCTCATACTCCTTTTACTGCTTCTCCGCGTCATCCCACGGCAGCTGCATAATGTTAAGAGAGCGAGGTAGTTCGTATGAGAATAGAATATAAATGGCCGGTCGTAACGCTAGCGTGGGATTGATAGGGTTTTGTTGTTCTGCGCCATTGCTGCAGCGACCATTTCTTAACATCATCGTTCTTCTTAGCATCTCCACACATGAGAAAGCGCCGTCGCCATTAGTGAGTTGGCTGCGTTGTTTTTCCTGGGAGTCTGTGGCCCGACGTTTGAATGTGTCGTGTATCTCTTGCAGCACGTGCTTGTGAAGTCGTATTTACTAAGTTTTGTAGTACATTCCTTCGAGGTTGTGTATGGCTTGTTTTAGTTGACTATGCTTCTGCATTTTGTCTGGTGTATCCACCAATTGCATAGCTTTCGCAAGTTGTTGGATGTCTCCTTCGGCTAACAGCTCCCCGTATAGTTTTAGCGTCTCGACGTCATTGAGGTTGGCGATATTCTGGGTGATTGTTGGATTAGGTTGGTATTCGCCCCAGTTGAATCCTTGGAATACCTCAACCTTGGGTATTGTCTTGGGACTCATTTTGGATTGAATGACAATGTGATTGGGATAGGGTTGTGAATGTGTGACAGCTTTGTCGTTCGATTTTGGAGATGTGACCAAATGAGAATACACAAACTGTTGTGATGTAAAAACTATACCTTTGGTGTTGCGGTAGCGATAGTATCAATGTCCCTGGGTAGTATCTCTGGTATCTGGAAACTGGAAGATGATATGCTTAGAAGTTGGTTATCAATAGGTATCATCGCGATAGGCTCTGACTAATGGTCTTTTTGTACCAAGACCGAGACGGTAGACTTTGGTGAAGTGCAGTTGGTTGTAATAGGTGAATTTATATAGGTTTAGAAATATTTTTGTTGGTGTTGAAGAAGAGGAGGACTTAGGATTAAATAAGGGAGAAGGATATAATGTTGTGTGTTTGGTTTGGTTAGGGTTGGATGCTGGTTACAAATTTTGAAGTTGAAAATCCGTCGAAGAATTTGGCTCAAGGAATAGGGAAGAACTGGAATGAGTTACTTAGATAGGTAGGTACCTAAGTTTATACGCCATCGCCTTATAATGCCGCCTTGCCATGGCAACGACGAGGTAAAAAATATGTACCTGAGGTAGGTACATACCTTGTACATACCTTGTAAGGAAGGAAAGACTTTTGGTTCTTACCTCTTAGGTATGTACTTGTTACCTTAGGAGGCACCTGATAGATTAGGTAGGTACATGTACTTGACGGGGCGTAGGAGAAATAAATACATCAATCCTTTCCCTTAGGCATAAACTCAAACCAAATCAACTCGTTTAAAATTTCTTGGTAGTCTCCCTCTCCCTCTGGACAATCTTGGGGAGGGAACCCTTTATATGACGACTTCTCCTTGTTCCAATAGTATCCAGTGGCTATGCGGTCTGCGAACCCCTTTACCCGAGCTCTTGTGGGCTGGACGCTAGTTGATTTCATACCGAGCGGCCGGAAGAAGCGTTCTTCTAGGAAACTAGAGAAACTTTGCTGAGTCTTTGCCTCGACTAAATATGCTGCTACTGTATACATCATGTTATAGTATATATGTTTTGCTCGCAGAGGGGCAGCCAAAGGCAAATTCCGCAAATTCCTGGTCACGGATCGTGCATCATCTGGATGGGCTGCGTGCGGACCCATATAAGAATCGTCGTGTCTGGTTCTACAGTTAGTATTTCCAACTACAGGTTATACCTAAGTTGCAAGATACGAAGCTCTTACCTGGCCATGCCAGACCTGTGGCTCAAGATGTCCTCCACGGTAACGCTCTCTGTGTACTCGGCACTAGGCATCACGAAGTCATCCGGCAATAAGCGTGACATGATCGCTTCATACTGCACCTCGGGATACTTTTCATCGTCATCTATAAGCAGCGCGACGGCCGCTGCAGTAAGCGATTTGGAAGACGACGCGATGTCAAAAAGTGTATCTGCTGTACATGGCTTCGACGATTCGACATCTGCGTATCCATAACCAGCAGAAGCGACTTCATAAGACACAGTAAGCGATGCAGCTACAATAGGTAAGACTTTCTTTAGTGCCAATAAACAGTTATATACTGAGCTTTTCAAAGAGTAAACTCAATATTGGAGCTAATCCTTGAGAGTTGTTACGTAGACTTATAGTGGCGTAGTAATAATAATGGATAACTACCTATGTACCTACCCAATAAGCGGGCAACTATACTATTTCGTGACAGGTACTTACATATTAACACTCAAATAAACCATCAAGAGGCAACTCTAACACCTGACTCACGATACCATATTGATGAGCCATTCTCAAAGATTGAAGGGCTATAACACGTAATGACTAGGTACTGTACTCCTGTAAATTGATTATACTAAACAAGAATTACAACTTCACTAAGTGTCAATTCTTCTAAATCCCTACATATTTTATTTCTACTCTATCAACAGTGGTATAACAACACTTACTGAACCCTAAAGAGTTTATAGTTCCACTGCGGTTTAATGAAATCTGCATCCCTGGAGTAGTATATATACCCGATACCTACTCTCCTCGAAACACCATCCCGCGTAGTCAGACCTAATAGAATCGACTGTGTATCAGGCGGCTTGGTAATAGTATCGGCAGCAACAATGACAACAAGTTCGTCGATTGCCTCAATTTCGCTATCAAACCTGAACTGGCCTTGATGAGAAGATATTTTTAGAATCCAGACATGTTCATCTTTCGCAGTTGCTATTTCAAACTGCCCTGCGTTCAAATAAGACCCGACAAATCCAAGCTCGCCGCAGTTAAGATCGGGCGGCTGTGTGTTACGCGAACAGTCCAGCAATACATCGATATCCATCCCAATGCGGCTGAGATAGTGTTTCGTGCGTCTGAATTCTTCGGGGGTCTTCATGGTTGCATAATCCTGGGTTTCGCAGATAGTCTTCCAGACATCTCTGGTCCAGAACTGCTTTTTAGAGCCTCCGTAATACCAGCATATAATAGGAACGTAGATAGACACTCGCTTGATAGGGGCTTGGGAGATGTTTCGAGATAACCAAAGGCTATCGGCAAAGGTAAACTCAACAGGACCAGTCCAATACACCCTGTAACAGTATGATCAGCATTATAACATTGATTCAGACCGAATTTTAGTTAAATCGGACCAAGGGGGTCACATACCATGACCATGTTGAAAATCGGTTAGCTTCCTGTTCGGATTGACATGGGCGCTTTTCAGGCTGGCCATAGGGAAACCAGAGGATTGCCTGATATAATAAATGAGGAGGTATTCCTTGCGCTTGACGAATACTTAATCCCAAGGCATCTCTATGCCCATTGAACCTATTAAATATGCCTTCAAATGCGTTAAGTATGTCATGGGCGTATGTGAGGTTCTTTCGGCTGTATTCCTGAACTGCTGTTTGAAAAGCCTGGATATCTAGTTTTCCACCTACATCCCCGAGATAATGGTATGGTGTTGGATCAAGATCCCTCCTGAGATTTCTCGTCCACCACGGCGGTCCTGTCCTCACATCGATGTGGACATGCGCATTCCTTTTTGGTGCATAGTCGTACCCTTCTCTCCACTGCGCTTCGCGACAGTTGAAAAAGACTTCCTCGTCTGTGAAGTAAAGACAGCGCTGCGACAGCGACTGTTCTTGGAAAACCCAGCCTCGCGTATTCCAAGTCGCACTTCGCACTTCCTCACATAGGGACCGTAAGCAAGTTGAAATATTGAGAACGGATCCATCTGATGCGTCAATAATCTTCGTTGGCTTGAGAGGGTGACCTGCCCGTGGACTAACCCCCCTTAACCCGGCATCCGCATCGCAGCCTGCCGCGGCGATTATGGTCACAGCGGCACAATCGTAGACATCGTCCATTCGCCCTATCAATCGTGCCTTGTCTTCCAGGTCGTCCTGTACAATGCACAATGTGTCAACCCACAAGTATCTCATCCCCATCTGTCGTGTAAACTCCATAGCGTCGCGGATTGTCCGGGGTATCCTTCCGGTTTTCCTTGTCTCCGGCCTCAACTTGGATAATCCCATAGGAACACTCAGTCCTTTCACATTCTCTTGAAGACTAAGGAGGATTGGTACCTCTTGTTCGTTTTTGCCAGGGAATTGGAGAGTCGGGCGTCGACCCCAGACATAAGATAGTGCCACATAGTCGCATCTCGTATCCTTCTGCACTAGACACTCTTGATTGACATCGATAAGACGGAAGGGATGTTGAGACTGGAATAGATCACTGCTTCCTCGATCTATGGCTAGCTTTGAATGCTCGTGCTTCTGACATTCCTTTAGCCAATTTTTCAGAAGCGTGATGTTGAGCCGGGTTCCAATTTCTAGCCGAGGAAGGTAGTTCGGCTCCGATTCGCTCGGGAAACGTTCGATCTCGGCGATTATAAACCGATTTCTTACCCGATCTATTTGCCTAAGTGGAACTCTGTTATTATGAAACCCTGGTGGCTTCTTATCAGTCGCTACTAGCAACCTGGGTTGGGGATGGTGAGTGTGGCCGTTTTCCTTGACGGATAATGGACTTCGACTCTGGATGAAGAGCCGACACGAAACCTTAGCAGAGCTCGAGTCAGTTCCCCACGCACGTTCGATAGCCCTGGAAACAAGAACGCAGAACGGGCAGCCAAGATCTTTATACTCGGAAAAATCACCGATGATCTGTTCTTGTGTTTCATTACCGAACCTCCTTTCTAGATCTAACTTCTCGCAGGTGCTGCACAGATGGTGTCTGGACCGTTCTGGAATTTGCCATATTAAACCAGAGTCCACCATAATTCGCTTAAATTTCCTAAATGCCGTGTCTTTCTTTTTTCGTTTTTTTAAAAATAGAAGTGAACAGTCGAGTTGCAAAACGGAATTCTACTATGAGGTAGTTTAGTCTCACGCTCGCCCGGCTTATATGGGGAAATATGGACGATGAGAAACAGTAAGTCTGTTGATTGGCTAGTATTTCGAGGTGCGGAGAGTTTAGGCTATAGATCTGCCCCAAGCACATAACTATTTAAACACGAGCATGCCGAATTTTTCTCCCATCAGCTCGTAAAGACTATATCGGCCTATAACATTGTCTCATACGATAGGACTCAGAGGGGTGATATGCTAGTATACCCAAAATCGTGAGGCAACCAATAATACTCATATTTTGTAGTAGAGCCTGCTTCCTAGTAGTCCAATGTGGAGTAAAGAGGACGCTCTCTTCCCTGTCGATTTCCTTATTAGCTTGTAAGTCATGAGCTGAGATGACGTGGCTGTAGATAATCACTTCCTTTGCTCATTACTGCAACTAATCCGAATTGTCCGTATCCAACTGTGTAGAAATTTGAGTGTTGCCTCGGAGCAACCTTCCTGTTATAGATATAGACTATGTTTATACTAACTGAAGTTATCTATGGGCTAGATATGCAAAACGCCTTGCTCTATGTATATGACAACTTCCGGGAGCGCTACATTGAAGCCGCCATAGCAGAGCAATCTCCAGACACAAACATGTGCTGCTTCTCGGCACTTGCTTATATGATGCGATCCAAAGCACCAGGTCGTTCCAACGATGTACCAACCAGCGCGAGTACATCGATGGCCCTTCCTCTGAGAACCTCTAGACGTAATTCCGTGCCTCCGACGCCGTCTTCCCACTTTATCTCGTATCTTGCCAAAAACCCCCGAACCCCAACGCGCAAACTCTTACAGCCATATCTAACGTACGAGGCTCGACTGCGAGAATTGTTTGCAAAGAATGACCCCCAGGTTCACGATCTAGCGAACCTAGTACCGGTCTATAATGGCCAAGAAGATATGTTCAAGATCCGGACAATAGATCGCCAGCTAGCTGATGACGACAAGTATATCATGCCGTTGAAGGATGATCAACGAGAAGCCGATGGAAGTCTAGCCATTACATCATCATTAGCGGATTATCGGGATAACTTCGATGGATTCACACATGGTTGGCTCCCTAAAGTTATCCTTGGCTCATTTTTAGAAATTTATTAATAGGTGACTATAAAAATATAGGTACACTGGCAGGCCTAGGTAGGATAATATCGCATCTTTAATAGTCGAATACCTACTAAAGCCATCGACTCTGAGATAGATTGGTCCAACATCGTGGTAGCCGGGTCATCTGCGCTTCTCCCCCTTCTTTCTTACCGCAGAGACGTGCATATCGAGTATGATCACGCAATAGAAAATCCGCTCGAAACCTACTACCAGTACGTCTCATTCGCACTTGCTGTACTATTAAAGTAGGAGGCTAATTTATTTTCCAGAACCACCGCAGGCTCAAGTGATATTGATATATTTCTCTACGGATTAGACAACGAGGATGATGCGGTCAGACGTATCCTTGAATTAGAAAACATAGTTCGAAAGAATCAACGTTTATTTACCGGCCAGGCCCTGTCCCTGCGCTCGAAGAATGCGATCACCTTCATTTCACCGAGATACCCATTCCGTCATGTACAGGTAGGAACTTAGAATCACTCATCTTCCTCTAATAAGTTACTGGAAGATTAATTCCCATCGGGTTAGGTTATACTTAGGCTCTATAAGTCAATTAGTGAGATCTTAACAGGTTTTGATGTCGATTGCGCTTGTGTTGCCTTCGACGGAACACAAGTGTACACCAATCCGCGAGGGATCACTGCCATCACCACGCGCACCAATACTATCGATCTCACCCGTCGTAGCCCGTGTATGTATCACCCCCTTGCTAACTTTGAGTGTATTATTCTTATCGAATGAGCCAAATATAGCCTACGAAAACCGCTTGTTTAAATATCGCAACCACAACTTCGAAGTATACTGGGATTCCCTCGACAGATCACGAGTCAAGGAGATATATGTCGAAAATGATGAAAGTCCCCGTGAACTAACCGGCCTGGCTCGATTAATTCTTTCCGAGCAAAACCTTCGGGAATATATTAACTCATACCGGCTAAAACGAGCCCTTAAGAGGTATGATGATGGCGGAGAACCGGTCCTGACCGCGCCGAGTGGATACGCCTCCCATGAAATCCCATATGGCGAGAAATTTACAGCTGAGAGGTAATTCTGTTTCACGTTCTCATGACCTATTTATTTTTTAATAGAGCTCTCTAACGAAATCGACGCTAGAGTTCGCCAGTATGTCATAGAACACTCCAAGGAGCCGTACATGTTTGGAACCATTCATGAAGTCACCGGCCAGCAATCCAGCTCAAGTAAGAAGGGCAAGGGACGGCTGTCCCAGAAAATAACGTTCATAAAAGACAACCCCGGCCGCCAGATGATAGGTAGTTTCTACCCTATAACGGATGACGACTGGTAAGACGCTTTCCTTTACCCTTGTATCTATTATGAGAATGGTAGTCGTTGACTGGCTGCTTGTAGGACTGAGATGGCATATGAAGAAGAGTAAAAAGTTTCATCTATAATTCTTTCACAGGCACTTTCAATATTTTCTAGATGAAGCAAAATCATCAACTCAACAAAAACAAATGAAATCAGTCCTTTTTAAGTCAATGTACCTACTTAGGTCAATCGTTTTGCCGGTATTCTCTTGAGCTTGGACTTACTATAAGATAGACATGGGGAGTGGCGGCCAAAAACAGGCCTCCAGCTCAACTCTACCATCGGTACCATGTAAGGCTACGATTCAGCAATTAGCTAAACCATTTCTAGCTTAAATAGCATTATGATAGACCCTATTTCTAGAGAAAGAGATAATGAAATAGCTTCTAGCTATCGGGAATCTTGTCCAATACTAAAGCATTAGATAATAGATTGTTACGGAATCATGAAAGCAAAGTCTAATCAATAGGACAATAGATAGTTAAAATACAATGGGTTCTTTCTTTGAGAAGATGTAGATGCGGAAGCACCTAAAGCCCAAAGAGCTACTCTTAAGGATCTGCTTTATCAGTCGCGTTTATAAAATATAAATCGATAGCCTCATGATTTAAAATACTAGCGAGGACGCTTGACTTCCCTTTTACAGCCAATCAACAGATATCCGAAAAGAAAAGGAGAATATTGTGAAGATGACGTATGTATTACCTTGCTATTGTGTGTGCTATCTTTACCACGGCGTCACGTAGAAGAGTCGCTAACTTGCATTAAGTCTAAATATCGGAGATGTTGCCCAAACAGAAAACCTTCTGAGAACTTACTTCTCACGCGACCCAGAACAACGCTTCGAACTCGAAGGGGTGATCGGGGCCGGAATGAACGGAGTAGCATGGAAAGTCAAATATAAGGAACAAGCACAGGGGCAAACACGAACAAGGCGTTTAGTCCTGAAGGTGGAGCGCCCTCGAGATGAGGAGGAAGATGAGGTCAACGACGGTAATGAGAACATTAACGACAACGAGAACAATAATAGCAATGAGAATATTGACTATAATGACGAGGTGGACGGCCGGATCCCGTATACTTTTAACCCCTTCGCTCATCATCTCGTGAACGAGCGCAATGCTCTTAAGGTTCGTTATGACTACCTAGTCTTAGGTCAACTACTACTAGATAGCAGCTCACATGATCACAGATGATGCAAAAGGCCAGGCACATTGTAAACCTTATAGAACCACCTCACGACCCTCTTGCTACAAGATTCGAAGGTATCGAACCCCACGGCCTCGCGGGGTGGATTTTAATCGAATACTTAGAAAAGTAAGTGTCTGGGATATTCCGGCATCGTGAGATGTCAATTCTACATTCTGAAGGTTTCCTATCGAAGAGACATAGCTAATCAAATATTCTACACTAGTGGGACCTTGCGCGATTTTGTAACAAATGTCTCCGAGATATTAGACGAGCCGCTCCCGAATAGGTTGTTATGGAGATTATTCCTGTGCTGTAAGTTAAGCCGCTGACACGCTATTATGTATATACACCGACTAATGACCTCTACCGCAGTAATACGCGCATGTATTGCCATGGCATACCCACCACATGAAGGGCCAAACGGGAGCGTAACCGAGCGTGTCAGACCTGGTCGTCGTCCTAGGAAGACAGAGCACGGCGATATGCATGACGAGAATGGTATGTTCCGTTCCTAAAAACTTTGTATCTCTGATGCTAACGTATGCCTACCTACTCAACTAGTCATGTTTGGTCCCCTATTACCAAATGGCGGCATCGAACATGCCCTAACCCCAGTTATGAAGCTGATCGACTTTGGAAACATGTCTGATTATCCAGATGAAGAGTAAGTTAACTGTCCTCAGGAGTCGGTGAGTTTCGATATCAAACTTGGCAATATCTAACCGATGATCAGTGGCTATGCTTGGAGAGGAGAAAGACATAATGTATTTGAGATAGGAGTTGTAAGTTACTTGTGCTTCGTCTTCCCCTCCCGTTCGCTTGTTATTACCTAGAAGATGGTCTAATCAGATGACAGCTCATGTGCCTACTGATATCACTAGATAGCGACGAGGTAACAGTTGTAGTGGATGGTGGTATTGAAATGTATACGGGGTTCCTCTCGGTGGGAAATGGCCAGCCACCAATCCAAGTGGCCGCGGGATTTATGTGTCCAGATGATCCTGACAATGAAGACTTCAGCCACATAGACCCAAGCTTGCTCACATCGGTATTGACTTGCACGGCGTGCTACCCACCGGACCGACCTACTCTAGCAGATCTCGAGCAACTAGCTTACCAGGCTGTACATGAGCGAACCCAACAAACATATATCCAAGCCAATTTCTCGTCGGCCGAGGCTGAGAGCGACGAGAACATTCGACAAATCATTCAGGATATGATATTTAATGCTAGAACCTAGAATATCTTGCGTGGTAGAGATATGATTCTTGTATATCTTCTACGGTCATATTTAGTCATTTAGGTAGTCAACTGCTTGAAAATGAATTATCGCACTTTAATAATTTTAAAATACCTAATAATTTATCTGCCATAATTGAAGGATATAAGTATAAATGACAAAAGGTTGGTTACATCGACAAAGTTGGACAAAGCTTAGAAGGCTACCAGTGCGACTTCGTCTTTTGAATTTTGGGATACTATTTGTTCTGTTAGATTAAAAAAAAGATTATACATGAGGTTATGGTTGAGGAAGTACCACGATATAAAAAGACTATAGTATAAAGAAGGGGGAGTATAAAGTAGTGAAAGGAGAAAAAGGGGAGAACTTAAAAGGTACGTACCTTTATTGGCGGGGCAGATCTAGATGCATGATTACGAACTGCACGAACTACATAAAAATTGCTCTAGCTGTCTAAGTACCTAGCGATAAGGCGATAAGAAAAAAAAAGTTAACGCAAAGAAATCTTAATGGCCAAACTCTTAACTGCATTAACGATTAACCGTTTTCTCTTCATACATCGCGCTTGGTGTTTTAGAGGAAACGACGGATCAAGTAGCATCGCCACATCGCGATAATGGACATCCATCGCTGTCGCTTTGTGCCGTATCCTCCCTCCGCCATCAATGCTGTCGCATTCTCTTACCCGACGGTCACCAAATCCCAGAGAGGCGCACCTGTCCGCTTAGCGATCGGTCGAGCGAACGGCGACATCGAGATATGGAATCCCTTAAACGGAATATGGCATCATGAAACCACCCTGCATGGAGGAAAGGATAGGAGCATCGATGGCCTCGTCTGGGTCACCGAGCCCGACCAGCTCCTTCAAGATGGTACCAAACTCGTCGGAAAGTCGAGGTTGTTTAGCATTGGCTACACGAGCACCGTTACCGAATGGGATCTGGAGAAGGGACAGCCGAGGAAGCAGGCAAGCGGTATGCACGGCGATATATGGTGCTTAGCGGCTCAACCCTTCCTCGCTCCCGCCAAGCACGGCGAAAAGTCCGCCAACGGTGTCGTCCAGAGCGGGAAGAAGCTAGTGGCCGGGACCATGGACGGAAGCCTCGTCCTATACTCGATCGACGAAGATGATCTTCGATTCGACAGGATACTAGTAAGATCGTCCTCCAAAAAGACCAAGATGGTCAGTATCGCCTTTCAGAACCGCAACGTAGTGGTGGTGGGGTGCTCGGACAGCGCTATTCGAGTCTATGACATGCGCAACGGTAACGTGTTGAGGAAGATGACGCTGGGGTCGGACCTTTCCGGTGGTGCCAAGGAAATCATCGTCTGGTCCGTCAAGTGTCTCAATGGGCGCGACATTGTCTCGGGCGACTCGACCGGCCAGGTTTGCATATGGGATGGGAAGACGTACACCCAGGCGCAGAGGCTGCAGACTCACAACCAAGACGTGTTGTCTTTGGCGATTAGTGCCGACGGTTCGATGATCGTTAGCGGTGGGATGGACCGCCGAACCGTCCTCTACAGAAAGACCTCAGGCGCGACGGCAAGGTGGAGTAGGGTCTGGCATAGGAGATACCACAACCACGACGTCAAAACGATGGCATCATTCGAAGGGAATGGACTGAGCGTCGTTGTTTCGGGAGGTTTGTACATGCATCCTATTTGAGTCCACCATCGTTGCTAATTTGGCCCAGGACCGGATGCCAGCCCCATCGTGCTACCCCTGCGAGAAGCCGGCATGGAGAATCATCGGACTCTGTCGCATCTACCCCAGAGTCCGCCGCTGCAGAGCGCGCCGAAGAGCAGGCTGATAGTTAGCTGGTGGGAGCGAGAGGTTCACGTCTGGCGGCTGAGGAGACCGTTGCGAGATCTAGTAGACGCGCCGGAGGGGGAGTCTGCCGTGGACAAGAATCGGAAGCTGCTGGCGCGCATCTTAGTCAAGGGCGAAGCGAACATTACATCCGCGGCGATTAGTTCTGATGGCTCCCTTCTGATAGTCTCGACAACGTCCGATATCAAAGCGTTCCATTTAAAGCCTCGAAGCGAGTCCAAGAAGGACGAGCTCAAGATTATCAAGCTCGAGCTGCAGGAGGATTTCTCTAAACAAGGCGCAACTCAAATCCAGATATCCCCGGATGGACGGTGGCTGTGCTCTGTTCAAGGCGGCAGTAAAATTCTCGTTTCATCGATCCTGCGCGATTCCACAGCAGACAGTAGGCCATCGCTCCACTCTAAAGCCTTTCGCTTACAACGCATCGAGCGGAAGATACAGAAGCATGCGGCTCTAGGCGGTCTAGGACAATACGATAGAACGGTTACTCACATTGCCTTCTCTCCGGATAGCAAGATGTTGGCCGTTGCAGACCTCGCCGGTTATATAGACACCTGGGTGCTGGATGCGACACGGCCGAAGCTTGAGAACGGCGTTAACGGAACTCATGACGATGAGGTCTCATCCGGTAGTGAGGATGAGGAAGAGCCCGCAGTCGACGCGGAAGGCCCGCGATGGACCCGTAACCCAAAGGGGTCTCTTATCCCTAAGCTGCAGGCCGCTCCTACCGTTCTATCTTACTCCGATCACGTTCCAGTCTCAAACCCTTCTATATCAGACGACAACGACACTACAGATGATTATATACTTCTTACTATCACCGCTAAACCGCAAATACTTGTAATTAACCCCACTCTCGGCTCCCTAACACCCTGGTCCAGACGGAATCCGATTACGCGCTTTCCGGCCGAGTTTCGAAATATCCGCGATCTTGTGAAGGGAGCTCTCTGGTCGGGCGAAAGGGTATGGCTTTACGGCAGCACGTTTCTCTTCATGCTAGATTTATCCCAGGATCTAGCTGAGCCCGTTCTGTCCCACGAGTCCCCCAACGGAGAACTCGTGAAGCAAGGAACGAAGCGGAAGAGGGGACTCGATAGCGGTGCCGGTAGCAGGACGGAAATTGGAGCCGCCGGGCCTACGAAGATCACCCACAGAGTCGACGGCGAAGTCGAAGAAATCCCTCTCGACGGACCCGCGTCCGATCCCATGGACGAAGACGAAGTTAGCCAGCCCGGAGAAGAAGAGAGCGAGAGCGATGATTCTGATGCCGAAAATCAAGGCGAGCTAGCGCTTTTACGCGGTGTCCAAGGGAAGTCGGCCTCCGAGTCGCAACCGGGTAATCGCTTAGCTTTCTGGCATACGTATAAATACAGGCCGATCTTAGGGATCGTGCCTCTTGGCGAAGGAGAGGAACCATCCGTACATGGGGCAGGTGATGAGGCGACGCGGCTAGAATCACGAAAGGTTCTTGAAGTGGCGTTGGTGGAGAGGCCGCTGTGGGATGTCGATATGCCCGATAGGTACTTTGGAGACGGGGAGTGGGAGAAGTAAGGTTTTGTACGTAGGCAGTTTTTGAGTTCACTATAGTGACACTGTTTAAGTGTCGATGTGGGGATATGCTAATGGAGAAGTGTGGTCTATTCTCCTTTCTGGCTTCTTTGGGGATGGGGTGATAAAAAAAAATTCTAGTAGGTCCCTCGTATGTTTCTTGAGAAGCTTACTCTATACCTGGAACTGAGGAGAGGGCATAACTTCAAGTAGCTAACAATCTTTAGCACGTTAATATACAACCCAGCGAATGACGAGCATTGATTTGAATCCGTAGGAGTTCTTAAGATAGTAAACTCAATAATTTCGAGTATATTATATCATATATGACCTTAACATAAGCCCATCATGAATATTGCTTTTCAACGAATACATATAGTTATCTTCTTAATAAATCTTTACTCTCCTATCCCTTTCACAATTACGTTGCTAGTTGAAGATGCCTCGGCAATTGTTTTGCTCGTCCTATTCTATTCTACTTACATTCATGTCTCCTTCATCATTCCTTTCTCTACCTTTGGTCCTAGCCATCTCCTCCTCCACTTGAGCCTCTAGTGTCCCAACTCCAATTCTAGTCGTCCTTACTCCACCCCTAGCTAGAAGGCGTTCGTGGCTGACACTAGCCTCGACAACCCCCATAATCTAATAGCATCTGTCTGATTCCGCTAGAACGGTGAGCGTTGAAGACATCAACGATTATATAAGGTCTTATTACGGGATCATGAAACAACATCCCGGAACCAGATTGTATGACCAGATCTACATGCACCTGTATATCCAAGTACTTGTATACTAAAGTAAAAAATAAGAAAAAAAGACCAAGTGAATTATGCAGGTACCTTATAGCTACCTGTCTTCCCTTGTGCTAAGCTCGTGCGACCTAAAGATGGAGTTTGGTTGGCTGGAAACTTGCTCAGTCAGTCTGCAGGTAGCCTTTAGTTCTTTCAGAGGCGATGGAAGTACCACGTCAGAAATTGGCCTGTAGCTGATATTTCGATTTGTGAATAGAGGCAACGTAGGACATCTCTGGACCCTGAAATCACATGCGATAGAATTAAGACACTCAAGGTATACGTTCAATGTTAGATGTGGATATATGTACCTAAGGTACAAGTGTACCTACCCGGGTGGGGGGGGTCCTAGGACAGACTGATACCAATCTGTCAACATACTTCAAATCATATACCATAATTTATTTAAACAATAGAGACTCACACGTTTTGTATCGGACACTATTCGACCTGGAGATTCTGATTATTTTAATAAGGATATCCCCAAGGTTGTGGATTTAATTTAAATATAATAATAAAAATAATAGTCTGGTAAGGCTAGGTCAGTATTATCCCCCCACCAGTATTGTGTCTCCAACAGTGTGTTGGCTGCACAATTCTGGGGTTACACGAACAGAGTGTATATGGTATATAATCATGTTATGCTTATAATAGGGACACTAACGTGATACACACCCTGATATAATACTAGTGGCACCACTAGTATATTCATTTAATAGGTATTGTGCACCAAGGGATATATATATATATATATTGAATAAAAATTAAAAAGAGGCCATCTCAAACACCTCTTATTTCAAGGTGCTTGAGATCGTTTATTTTTACTAAGTCACGATGGGATTCGAATGATTACAAGTCAGATTACAAGTCAGATTGCAAGTCAGATTAGAAGTCAGGTTACAAGTCTACGGGCTATTCAAATTGACTACGAGGCATTACATTACATTACATTACATTACGTACGCGTGTGGGAAGGTGACCTATTACCTTATATAAGGTATACTGAGGCACCTACTCCTTCCAGGTAAATAGGGACTGATATATTGACTATATTGAATCAAAATTAACGTGGTAAGGCAGGTATAATAGCCGTACTGACAAGCCCTATTATACTGACTATATTGAATTAAAATCAACGTAACGAGGTAGGTGTAATAGCCGTACTGACAAGCCCTATTATACTGGCAAGAGTCACCTGCTATCGACGGCAATAGCATCTTATCTCTAACAGTCTTTTTTATCTCTGACAGTCTTTCTTATCTCTGCAAGCATTATCTCCTCCACAAGAGTCTCCTTCCTATTTTAATTTCAAGGCCACAGTAGCACCTACTGCAACAGTATAAAGTTGACGATATTGAGGCTATTTTGATCAACGTATTATTCTTGTAAGGGGGGCCCGTGCGAGAATGCGTGGCTAATAAGAATTTGTATTCTTATAAAAAGGATCGGAAGTAAGGCTAACATTATTCTATATAATTCTGGTACAGCTCTGTTAACAGGCTTTCCCCGAATTGACAGTGTAATACATTCCAACATCCTAGAGTCATACTGTCCTAAGACCCCCCCCACCCGGATAGGTAGGTACAAGGTACATACATCATTGGTATATGCATTGATGTTCTAGATCGCGGGTTGAGCTGATTATCCCACGAGGAGATAGCGCTCCTGCCAGTATATTGAATACATTTGGCAGTAGGTAGCTGTCTTGACGCAGATGGGAACCCGGTGGCTTGGGTCCTGCCTTCCTTGGACAAGAAATCTAACAAATTCTAAATCACAATTGAATATTTCCACTTGCATCATCGCCCTCGCTCTCTTACCTTCTTTCCACACTCTCTTCCACCCACCCCCCTTCTCAACTCCCAACAACTTGACCTACATCTAATCGAAGTATACCCTTCTGTTAACTTCAACACTCGTCTAATTCGCCACCAACACCACGAACCCACCCCCATCATGATGTTCATCGCATTGATCACCTTTGTCCTTGCGCTTGCCCACAAAGCATCCGCCCATTTCAAGATCAACTACCCGGCCTGGCGTAGTGACACCTTCAATGAAGCTCTCAACTACTCCCAGTGGACGTATCCCTGTATGTACCCATCGTCTAGTGCCATTACCATGTCCTCTTCAAAGATTTGCTTAAAGCTAACAATCCGATACGTAGGCGGCGGCGTTCCCGATGGCGTCGGCAACCGAACCGAGTGGCCCATCACCGATGGTGCTGTCCAGCTCACCCTCCATCATCCATGGACCTATCTCTTCGTCAACGTTGGCCTTGGCTCCTCTGTCACCAACTTCAACATGTCCTTCACGCCTGACCTGATGAACGTCACTGGCCAAGGCGGATTCTGTCTTCCGTCGCTCTCCGTCCCCATGAAGGTTAGCGACGGCACTAATGCCACCATTCAAGTTGTTACCAGTGGTGATTCTGGTTCTGCTTTGTATAACGTAAGTAGTATATATAGGCACGTTAACGTGACATGCGTGCGAATCTAAAGTATGACCTCAAGCTAACAACGCTCCAGTGTGCTGACATCGTCTTTCGATCTTCTGCAAAAGTTCCGGCTGGCGTGTGCAAGAACGACACGGGCATGTCAGCCGTCATTGTTGGCCATTCGTCGGCTGCAGCCTCTAATCCATCAGCCACGGCGGCTTGCCCGTCCTCCACCTCTACCCATAATTCGGCGACGGGAATAGCCGTAGAAGGAATTGTACTGGCAACTATGCTCGGTCTAGCCTGTGTCTTTGCCACCAGTGTAGTCTGATAAAAGGAGATATTTGCCTTCCGAGAGAAATTGGCAGTTAGACGAGATGCAACAACGAACTTGTGCAAGATGCTATTGGCCATATAATTATGTAAAGCACCCCTGGGCGTAAAGCTTGGAGGATGGATATGGCTACACCGATGTAATGTCACATTAGTTTGCAAGTTGCGCGAATGCGATGGCACTAATAAAAAAAGGGATATGTGTTGCAACTTACTGTCTTGGCTTAATCTAAGGTGATGGATGCAATAGCAGTCGACGTCTAGCTCGTCGCTACGACTGCTAGCACTAGCAAGTAAAGCGCTTCGAATCGCTAAATTCATCCCAATTCGTCGCAACAATTTGCTACGACGTATACAATTCTATCGAACAGAGCCAACACCTGTAAAACGTTTTCCAGGCCGGACCTGATCTCGTCAAATCAGACGATACCATGATCAGTAGAGATGTGAAGCTGAAGCCCTCTAGTAGCACCGACCCTTCTCTCCGAAATTTCCTTCAGGATATATCGGGCTTAAGTGGCGTAGAGATAAATAGCATGTAGGAGCAACATCGCGCGTTTGTGACGAAGCTCTGGGTAAAGCAGAATTGTGATCGAAATGAGATCGTGATGGATCGGATCAAACTGGCTTGTGACAGGCGGGCGAAAGGGTTTTACTCTACTAATTCGATTCGCTTGCTTATTCATCCATACGTACGCTCTCGCTCACTTATTCGAGGCTGCATTCTCCTTTAGTAACTCGCTTATCACCTTTTCCATAGTGATGCGTTGGTTCGGGTTAGGTGTTAGCATCTGTCGGACTAAAAACTCGACGCGGTCCCGTTGGTTTAGGCGAGCCTTAGCCTCGTTGACCTCGCTGAGCCACTGCTGCATCTGATGAACGGCCGGCGTAGCTCTGTTACCTGTATGACCGTGATTATGTGGCAAAGGAGGAGCTTTCCGGTTTAGGTCTGCGATCATCCAGTACAACTGCTTAGGGTGGCCTTGTCGCCCTCGGGCGTCTGGGAAGGGGATCTTGCGTAGAACGTATAACATGGTGACACCAAGAGCCCATACGTCGGATTCGGGACCACGTAGCTTTTGACCGATAAACTCGGGGGGTACGTAGTAGGGCGTACCGCCGTTGGTGGCCGGATCGATAGTGCGAGTCGACAAGCCGAAGTCGCAGAGAACGGCGCCGCGATCGCGTGAGTACAGGATGTTAGCTGGCTTGATATCGTTGTGGATCTTGCGCTTCTGGTGAACGTAATGCAGAGCGCCAGCAATGTCGCGCAGGATCCGCACAGCGTCGTGGCGGCCGCCGACGAACAGATCAGTGGCCCCGTCCCGCCATACACCGCGGGCTGCGAGGTCCTTGCCATCCACGTGCTCCATATATAGCGACAAGTACCGCGCGTCGCCACCGTATAGCCGTACGATAGATTCATGACGCAGGTCCTCCTGGCTCTGGTACTCGCGTAACCAGATATCCGCCTGGCGGATCACGTTACGGTGCGTCTCCTGCGGCCGAGCATCCGAGGCGTTAGGATTGCGGGTCTTGAGCACCTTAACCGTGATGACTCCCTCCGAAACGTGGGAGTGCTCCGCGGTAAACACCGCCGAGGCACCCGTCGTGGCGATCTGCTCGCGCTTCGTCAATTGGTACTCGTCGAGCTCACACCCGCCAGGGATGGAGGCTGTCTCATCCTTCTGGATCTCCAGAAGAGCGTGGCCGTTGGGTATGGCGACCTCTTTCGTCTTGGCCGCGTTGGGAAGAGGGAACATGAGCTGCTTATCCTCCGGGCCCATGAATATGATGACGCCGTCTTTCTCTTCACCATCTTCCTTGCGAGCCTTCTTCTTCTTCTTCTCAGCGACTGGGCTGTCTGGCTCGTCGTCGCCGGCATCGGATAGAAAGGACCGCTTCCCAAAAGAGTTCACGACGTCTGAGCTCGAGATTACGGACGAGTCAGTGCCGTCATGAGGGAGTAGACGTGTCGCAGGTCGTTTCTCTAGTATCCTGAAGTCAAGGACGGGGATTGTGTAGACGCTGATTCGCCAGGTACCTGGCGACAGGTCCTTGGTATTACCCGGGACGAGCTCCTGGTCATAGTTTACGCCGGCGGGAGGACCTAGTTGGGATATCCTAGCGAGGACGATAGGCACATCCGACTTGTTCCACAAAATTAAGCTATCGCTGACCGGATTATAGTACAGCTCGCACCATATCGGCGGCCTGTTCTCATTATCGCCTTGCGGTATTCTAATAGAGAAATTGATATCTTTGGAGGTTTGAGTCACCGCGAGTACTTTGGACATAGGCTGGGAAGGGTCAGACACCTCGGCGCGCAAGGCTAACCACTGGATGTTGTCGTTTCCGGGGCTCACTGAGCGGTTCCGTGTCAGCGGCCGTACCAAGATACGGATACCTTGCTTATGATGGTCTTCCTCGACGACCAGGTCGTCCAGGGGTACGGTATCTTGGTGCGCATCTTCGACCTCGTCGACTTGGATGCCTCCGAGGAGTCTTTGTTGGAGCTCTTCCGGAGTAAACGGCTCCGTCTTCTCCTCGGAGGGGAAGACTTCCGCCATTGTGAGACTTTGAAAAGGAATACGCGGTATAGAAAAGAAAAGGAAAGATTTGAGCTTAAATTTAGGTAAATTCAATGGCATAGGCGTGGACTGTTGCTTGGCTCACTTGCGGTTGGATATTGTTGAAGAAAATAAGAAAATAAAACTCCGAGAGAAATTGGGCAACTCAACACAGGCGCTTCGACGACCAGCTTCTCTGGGGCACTTAGAGTAAACTGGGGTGTCTCTGCATTCTTGAAGAGAGAACCGTCAGGTGAACTGTCCTCAGGACCGGATTCTCTCAGTCAAAACTACCTCAGGTAAGCCCCTGGTAGAGAGTCATAATGTCATTTTTAGGAAAGCTTTGGAGAGAAATGAGATGCTGTGCGGCTGATCCCGCCCTTTTGCTCTGGAGGCTTTAGGGACAGATCGGCTGCCTAGGGTCAGTCAACCTACCTAGGTTATCTTCCTAATCACGGAACTATACCTGGCTGGGAAGAGATGTCCTATTATTAATGCCCCTGCTACGAGATGCTAGTTCGCGGTAAGACGTCCGCCTTATATAACAAGGCAAATAGCATCGAGACAGTGGGGGCCATATCAGATTAGGTAGGTAGCTTACCAACTCATATAAGAGCAGAGGTACCCGGGGAGAAATAAACTTCTTGTATGTTACGGATTTCTAGGGCTGAGTGTTCGACATGGTCTTGACTGTGACACCGTATGAGGTACAGTGGAGGTAACGGTCGCGGCCCGCTGCGTGAACAGTTCCAAGTGACTATAGGAGTCATGATGGAATCGCACTGTCTCATTTAGCCGGTTAGGGGATTGAGGGGTGCGGGTGGCTTAGATCTGTCAAGTGATTCGACAATAGGCACAGAAGGCGGCGAGAACGGAGAGCCCAATTCTTAAACGTTCTAAATGACACCATAGTGGCTGGGCGGCTGGGTAAGCTGAGCCATCATCCCACCGCCGACTAACGGACGTAGCCTGCTTCAAACTGGAAGTACCGCTCTGTACTTGGCCAGTCAGTCCCAATACAGACCTTTTTGCCGAGTGTGCTCATCGCTTTCGAGATTTCATACCGCTATCGTTTGAGCGGTGCATCTGCTTCAATTCAAGGAATATAGAGAATGAACGATAGCCTCGAAATCTATTTTGAAAGAGTCTTATAGAAACGGTTGCGAGTATGATATACAGGATCGATCTCGACACCTCGTGTTGGAAGCGTCGGAGCCTTTCGCTTCTTACTGCCGTTACATTTTTGCAATGTTGCTTGGTTATTTTGCGTGTTGCGTGCTTTATTGAAGAGACTAAAGTGGAAAGAGATAGCTGGTAGAAAAAAGGATCGGAAAAGAAGGAAGATGGTGTGGTCCGTGTAGCACATGTGTGGGTCCGTGAGGTAAGATACTCCACTTGGCTATCTGTATATAATTGTTGATTGGCCAAGTGTAAATAGAGTAAAACCTGAACTTCTTCTGATTGGCTTTTCATCACGGCAATGTGGCCAATGTTGTCCGGACGCGGTGTCCTTGTGGCCCCCAACGGCACACAATTGGCACTTCAGCTTGATGCCTGAGGCAATTAAGGCACCTAATTTGGAGATATGGTACCAAGCGAGTTCCCACTTTGTCCTTCTCATCGTCGCCCAGCAGCTACGATTTCAACAAAGACATAGTGAATTAACCAAAGGCACGCAGCAGTGAATATTTCTACACCACAACAAAGCCTCGACACTGCTAGAAATCGTTCCTTTGGTGTAAAACACTCCCAAAACGTCAAACAAGACAACATTTAATTTTCTTCTCTTCGAAATGGATTCTACATCTTGTGTTTAAATGGCTTCGTTCACTTCTAGCAGCCTTTGTATCGTGACCCAATTCAATAATATTGTACTTGTACCAACTATTACCATTTCTTTTCTAACGCATCAGTAACCGCCCTAATACCACCGAAACCGACTCCTTATACCACCTAGAATACCGCCCACAGCACAACATCTACCCGGTCGAATTAAAATCCGACTCCTGATACCCATTTCCCTATTGGGACTCTGAGGTTGACGAGATAACGCACGCTCCGCCAGAGGATGGACGATCCCGGATGGTCATGGCCTGCCTGGAAGTTTGGGATGAAGAGGGACGAACTCTTCACCGGACTTCATGATCGATACAACACAATCGCCTTCTCTATTCAGGATCCCGAGGCCTTCCACCATGATGTTTACGAGATTTCCAATACCGCAAGCACAGTCGATGAGTTCCACTGTATGCTAGCTGACCGCAAGCAGCTCCGGCTGAACGAGCTGAACCAGAGCCTAGAGTCCGCCTCTGTCGAGATCATCGCTAACCCGAGCCTCATCGGTACTCAACAGTGGCAATACGCTCTGCAGCTTTTCCGCACCAAGTCGCTGGACTCCCTTGTAAGATACTTCGCGTCTTATCTTCCAGATGATCATCCCTGGCATCAATCCACCGACGATCCAACATCGAAACCATTCTTCGACGATCTGGAGGACGATGTCCCTGTCATGACGCACGAACCCCTCGCTATCGATACTAGTTCTTGTATTCCGGCTAGCCATCTTCCTCCTTCTCCCCGGTCTCTTACGATGTGTTCGGACGATTCTGCGGTGTCAACCCCAGCGCGAACATTATCCTTCTCGGAACCCGAGACGGATGCGATGGTGCTATCCGGAACGCTGTCTCGCGGTTTCGACGACGAGGAAACATCACAGTCAGACGAGCCTGATACTCCAATTACTTATGTGTCCGATATGTCGGATCTAGAGTCCCTGGAATCTCAACCAGAGGAGGAGGTGGAGGAGGATATCGCGGATGAGAACAAGCCAGTATCTCTAGGACGTGACGTCCAGGGGGACGATAAGAACGAATTAGAGACGCCAACCCCCCGAACCGAATTTCACTCGGATTCATACATAAGTAGTGAGGCTGTAAAGACAGTATCATCTAAGCATAGCCCACTTCGTAGAGATGTTCGCGATAGAAGTCCAGGTCTAGCAAGATCGCGACGGAGGAGTCCAGAAATTGGGCGGGTGCAAAAGCCCCTACCAGACCCCACAAGAGTCAGACCCAAGGGTCGAAGACGTTATCTAGGCAGTTGATGCCGCCACGAAACTGTATATATCCTTATGATGCTGTTGTATATACCCATTGACACGTTAAGTTATTTCTTCACTATCGTGTTCTCTCCTAGTCGAGATCTCCTTTTGAGGATGTAGTGAATGCTTCGAGATTGTCATGAGTGCTAACTTGATTAACTTACACAATAACATTCCCGGCAACGAGATTTGACGTGTAGGTATGATAACAGAGGTAGAACTAGTGATATGCTAGTGTCTTAATAATAAGGTATCTCGTTTCATCCTCTGATTGCTAATGAATCTTAAAATTAGGGACAGGTGATCAGGTCATACTTGATTGAAACAGATTTGTTACCATATGTAGGTACCTAACGAGTGATACTATTCGCGGATACCTGTAGCAAGTGATGACATTTACTACTACTAGATCTTAGCGTGTAAGTGCCTATTCTCCAACGCTGTTTACTCTAAACTTTCATAGTTCTAGGGAGTGCTAGGCACTAAAGACGCTAAAAGTTTGCGCTTCCCAAATGCCTATCTGCAGCTGGTACGAGGTAAATTGGGGGCGTGGTGAGGTCATCGACTTCGATATATATGCGAGCACGAATCATGAGCTGTAAGAACAAGACAAGCAAGGTGTATGATGGCTTACTGACCTAGATAATATCTAATGTTCTTTCCTTTATCAATATTATCATTACTTGGTTCATCTGCTTATCGGAGTCTCATCTGTTCTATATTCACAAGAATATTTCATTATTCCAAACACATAGCTGCCAGAATAGGGGAAATTAATTTGACCCAAGGCTGTGTAAAACATATTTCTACTTGAATAATACGCAACGCAATATGCCTGAGACGCTACGAGAGAAAGCAACCAAAAAGTTACAAGGCCCCAACGCCAACCCAAGCCAACTCGGTGACCCCATCAGCATCAAGGCAGAGCAAAGTGATACTATGCCAACTAAGCAGGAAGAGGGTGCTACTAATGCTTCAGAGTCACCCTCTCGTGATTCCAAACAGAGCAGCAAAAATGGCAAGGGTAACGGGAACAGAGATAGAGAGACCCTGAGAGAGAAAGCAGTGAAGAAGCTCCAAGGACCTGATGCCAATCCAAGTCAGCTAGGCGACCCGGTCAGTCTCAAGGCCGAGACAAGCGACTATATTCCTACTAGCGGGGAAGAGGGGGCTCGCAAGAAAGAGTCGAAGCTGTGAATATTGGTCCATCTTGTAATGGCATAGACGCCACATACGATTCCATAATGAAAATAAAATAAATCAATGTCACCACGTATAGTGGATGTGTGATTACTTACCAAGTAAAGCGTGCCTTTAAATACCTAACAAGAAAGACGAAGACTTATATCGTGGTTCGTATTAGTAAATACCAATGCGCTGATGCGGTAAGCAGGCCTATTTTATTACCTAACACTTTAATAGCTTATAATTGAAGCTTTGGAATCATTTCAACAATCCGGTCCAGCAAGATTTGTCATGATACTAACGGACGAACGACGCATGATAAATCCGAGATTTGCTCCAATCGTAAGAGACGAAACCTAAGTTCTAACCAAACTACGCGCATAGGTAAAAAGTGCAAAGCTGCAATAAGATGGCGTAATAGTAGTACATACAAGTGCGTCATCCTTTACTTACACCACACTTAAGCCGAGTAGTCGGGGTTTCAACCGCCGCTCCGCATGGTGAGCGAGGTACCAAGTTACAAGTACCTAACCTACATATCAAAGTGAAGACTTGAGTCTCCTATTCTCCTATTCTTCTATTTAACAGGCTATATACCCACGAGTTCGGTATTGTTTCAGAAAGTAGTCATCTTTCAAGATAATTTATTTAGAAGTTTATATCATTCATCATTGACATTTCAGAAGCATGTCTCAACCTGTAAGCTTCCGTTACCTTTTCCCATATCAACCCCGATTGCAGTACGTGAAGCTGACCATAAAAATAAGAACCAAATCGAATACCAAAAGGATGGTCGCTTTACCAGACCTGATAGCACATTCCGCGATTTCATCTCCGCAGACCCCAACTCAAAATTCCCTGCTGAGAAAGGTCGCTATGCGTTATATATTGCTGGCGGCTGTCCGTGGGTATGTGAAGTTGACGTCTAAGTTTATATCAATACAACGATTGCTAACGTAACTCCTAAACTACAAGGCGCATCGCACCAACATCCTGCGCTCTTTAAAGCGCCTTGAAGATATCATTGACCTATATTACCTCAGCTCATCCATGGGCGACAAGGGTTGGTGGTTCGACGGCTTGAATGGTAGTCTGTCGAAAGACCCTTTATACGGCTTTACATATCTACGAGAACTGTACTTCAAAGTAGACCCCAACTTCAACGGCAGGTTTACCGTGCCAGTCCTATGGGACAAGAAGACCGAAACCATCGTCAACAACGAGTCTAGCGAGATCATCCGCATGTTATACTCTGCGTTTGACGCTTTCATCCCCGAGGAATTCCGGGAGGTTAACAAGCCTGGAGGCGGTCTTTACCCGGAACACTTGCGCAAGGAGATCGATGAGATCAACGAATGGGTCTACAACACGGTCAACAACGGCGTGTACAAGAGCGGATTCGCCACCAAGCAGGAATCCTACGAGGAGAATGTGTACCCCTTATTCAAGTCGCTCGACCGTCTTGAGGGCATCTTGGCCGGCCACGGCAAGCCCTTCCTACTCGGGGACCAGCTCACCGAAGCCGATGTGCGCCTGTACCCAACGATAGTACGATTCGACGCCGCGTATTACACTGTGTTCCTATGTAACCTCAAGAGTATCCGCCACGACTACCCGCACCTGAACAAGTGGCTACGCCGGCTTTACTGGGACGAGGGCAGCAAAGTGACCGGTGGTGCCTTTCATAAGACTAGCGCCCCGTGGATTAACTTGTATGCTCAAGGATACGCGACCGCGAGGGCAAGGGTCGCTAAGATCGAGGGCCCTATCATTATTCCTCGGGGTCCGGCAGTGCCCGTCGAACCCTTGGCTGAGAATGAGAAGATATGGTGATCATACCATGCATTTGAGCTAAACCAATAGCTGTGGAATATTGAGGCTCGGATTAAAAGGTCCATAATTGGGCCATAGGCCTGAATAATATTCACGTCAATTTTTTTTGTTTCACTTCTCAACGAAAATTCAAGTTCAAGCGCATCTTAGGTGATTTTCATCCCGTATACTGGGGCTCGTGAACCCCAATACTTCTCACCATTGGATATTTTAATAAAGGTGCTATCTATGTGTATACCCAAGTATTCAAAAGCCTGCCAGTAATTCAACGGCTATGTACAACTAGTTAAGATAGTAGGATTTCATCTCGCATAGGTGATAAATTGTAGCTATCCGAGGTTCTGAGCCTGAAAACCCCCTTCAGCTTGGAAAATATTCCCAACAGTTTTAGAAACCGCAAGTAGACGTCTATCATGGTATCTCGGCGCAACCAACGACAGACCAATCGGCATTCCGTTCCCGCCTTTAAAACCAGGAATGTTCACTACCGGCACATGAAGAGCCTAAAAAGAAAGTGAGCAATGGTCAACTTATCACTTAGAAACAATGACTTACCGTCCATATCTTATTAAACGCCGGGTTTCCAGTAAACTCTATGCCCACAGGCGCCTCATCGACCACGCTCGGTGTAAGAATAGCAGCATATCTTCCGGCTATCGCATCAATTCTAGGCCTTAGTGCGGCTACTCCGTCGAAAGCTTCAAGCTGAGTGGCCCGCGATATCTTATTGTTATTCTCAACATGGTCAACCAGGAGAGACGCTAACTTCTCTTTAGCAATCCGATACTCCGGCAAGAATGTTGCTCTCGCATCAGCGTCAAGTATAACGCCGTGCCACTCAGACATCCTGTCGAATTCTGTTGGCAGCTCGATCTCCTCGACCTCTGCTCCATGATCTCGCAGTAGCTTTGCGCCGGCTTCTAACGCCGCGACTGTGCCGGGTCCCGCCTGGGGCCATACCGTTGTTTTCAAAAGCGCGAATTTGGACCCCTTGATTGAGAAGTCGTCTTGTGTAGGCGTATCGTCTTCAAGCGCGAAGACATCGGCTAGTAGCTGGAGATCTTCCACGCTCCGCGCAAAGAAGCCAACTGTGTCGAGGTTGAGCGAGTATATTTTCACACCCTCGCGACTGACGGCGTTCCACGTCGGTTTAAACGCAAAGATTCCGTTGAATGAGCCCGGACGAATTGTGCTTCCGCCTGTCTGAGAACCTAGTGCGATAGGCGCTTGGAAATCAGCCACTGCTGCCGCAGACCCAGAGGATGATCCGCCTGGGGTCCGCGTTGCGTCGTGCGGGTTCCGTGTTTTTGGCCCAGTTGCGGTGGATGCAAACTCTGTTGTGGTAGTCTTGCCTATATTAACCAATTAATACTCGAGCACATTACTCTTTAGAAACCCATCAAAATCTCACCTAGTATTAAGGCGCCGGCTTGGCGCAGCGTTGCGACAGCCGCCGCATCGACATTTGGCCCATCTCCTTCGTAGATCGGGGAGTTATGTTGCGTCGGCATGTCTACAAGGAATTAGTGACCGCATGTCAGTAGTGAGGAAGAGTAGAGCGACGTCTCGTATACATGATATCTTTTACCGCAACAGCGACACCATGCAAAGGCCCCTGACGTTCAGGGGGGAGAGAATCAAGCCACTTTGCCTGCTGGATTACATATTCCGGGTTGATATATGCCCAGGCCTTGACAGCATCGTCTCTCTTTTCGATTCGTTCTAGTAGCGATCGAGCATATTCTTCCACTGTTACTGAACCGTCTTTGAATTTCGCAAGCGCTTGGGTTGCCGTAAACTGATAGGGCCCCATTATCTCTGTATCAAAGTTTTTGGGAATCGCGATGTCTTCAGGGGCTTTCTAGCTATTGAAATTACGGCGATTCTTCTCTGTAGCTTCTGTTTCTTGTCGCAGGTTTATGCATATTAGACTAATGGATTCATGATTGCTATGAAACTTGGTATATTATCTAAGACAAGTGTTGGCTTCTCCGCCCACCCGGAATCGGAGTTCACGGCATCACTAGGTCGGGGTAGTCCCCCACTTATAGCCAGATAGGACCGGATCTATCCGGGGACGCATATAAAAATATTCCCGACCAGATATCTAAGAAGTAGTGAAGATATATTAGGTACAGTGAAGATTCGACGTCGTCCGCTATTATGTATTATACGAGAAGCTTTAAAACTCATGCATATGAGGTATCACGACTCGCAGGCAAAGTTCGAGTAAGGCCTAGTAATCTAAATAATACACTTCAAGAGTTTATTGACGTTCTTTTGGCGTATTCTAGTATTAGCTCAAGCGATTACTCTCAGATGTTATTCAGCCCCTTTACAGGTGTATGATATATAAAATATGTACCACGATTTGCATTTCTTTCATCAAATAGGATTACGATAGCAACATATGAGGATAACCCGAGAGTGATTAAGCCTCCCTCGTAACTCTAACAGCTTCGTGCCATATGCTTGGATCCACTAATGATCGAAGACGGAAGGTATTTAATCGTGATGAGATGTAATTTTGATTGTGAGTAGTGATTAACGATGATGATTAGGCTCCATGCCGATAGTAAAAGGTCAATAATACAAGTATCGTGCCCGATCGATGCTTCGTCTCAAACCCAGACCTCGTCTTCCGGATGAAGGAGGGGGATTGAGGACCCGTTTAGTACACAATTCCTGGCAAAGGCGAAAAGGGGGACAATGACTGAAACGTGATATGATGCTTAGGGGGAGAGTTAAAATTATATCATTGCCAAAATTGACAGTATAAAACAACGGGGTATATTTTATGTCTTAATCAAACACTCGTACGAATCGATCCTCATAATATCATCATCCTCTAGAAACCACTACTCTAGACATTTTAACCACGAGCAGCGAGTTCCACAAGTCAGATGATAGCTTGACCTAACTTATACCTAACCTGATTTAGCCTAGGTAGATCCTTTTTTAGGGATATCTATCCGAGCCAAGGGTAAAAAAAATTTATTTGGTATTTTATATAAATTCTCTTAAGGCAATATTATTGGTTATTGGTAAAGGTTTTAGGTGAAATATATTAGGTGGCTGATATAGCTAAGTGTAGTTTTATAAGGGTACATAGGCCAAATCGACAATACGGCTAGGTAAGCCTCGAAATTTAATATATCTGACTTGACCTAACTCGTGGAACTCGCTGAGGTCCACGAGGTAGAGGTCCGTAAACCATAAAGCGGGAGAAAAATATTCTACTCTAAGTTTCCAGGAAAAGGCCTTCTGCTAAGTTCGAGAGCAATATAGAATATACAAACGGCGGCGCCTTGACCAACTACATGCACCACCAGACATGACCGAACTCGACAACTTCCTTTCTCTCTTGTACAACGACTCATCATGATACCTGCAGTCTGCCGCCCTCAGGTACCTAGGTACCTATACTTAGAAGAAAAAATGAAACTCTATGATGAAGGTATATTGTTATTATTACTTTCTACTAAGCTACCTCAAACACCTAAAAATTTGTTCCCGTTACCCCTCTCCTTCTTAGCAAGGTCTAAGTCCCATACGTACCTTGGTAACGGTTGACAACACGATGCACGGGCACTAACACACGTGTAGGTAAGTTAGGTAGGTACCTAAGGTACTAGAGGAGAAGTTACATGGACCTTCCTGGTGTTTGCCTCATGTATAAATTTGACATGTCATTTCCAGGTAAATTTCTAAACCTTTTCAAACACAATACCAAACCCAACAACAAACTACACGTACAGCAGCCACAACAACACTTCGATCTTCACATCTGCAAAGATGGATTCAACTATGCGTAAGTGTGCTTCCTGCGACCGCAATCTTCCTCGGTCGTCCTATTCAGCCAACCAGTTCTCCAAGGGTGCTGGCGTATCGCGATGCGCGGGTTGCGTTCACGGACACCATGTCGATACTCCATTGACTGGTGAGTTTGATAGCGGCAGATACAACAACTCCAACAACGCCAGATTTCCAGGCCATGAGCTCGACAACCCCTTTGCTCAGGGCGCGTTCCGGTGGGTAGCTAAGGGAAGCTACACTTCGGGCTCTCGCAACGGTCAGGCATGCGTCGCCAAGTGGTTCAAGACCGGCGCCGTCTTCGAAGCAGACTACTTCACTCTTGACATCAAAGCTGTCAACAAGGCTCTGGAGATTGTCAATAAGTTCAATGAACTTCACGTAGTCAACAAATCCGTCAAGATCAACGTACCCGCTGTATGGACGTTCACGCAGGATGCCAGGGCAGACTGGGCGGGGCAACGTGTCCTATGCGAACCCTTCATCCAAAACTATCAAAAGTTCAACAGCAACACCGGATGGAGCGACGACTCGGAGGCGTGGGGAGAGGTCATGCAGGCCCTCAGTCACTTCAGCTACCACGTCACAGGCGGCCAGTTCGTCTTGTGCGATCTCCAGGGCGGCATCTACCAGCACGAGGTTGTCCTCTCTGACCCCGTCATCTTGTCGCGAAACCGCGACTATGGCGTGACTGATCTTGGACCCGATGGTATCAGCTCGTTCTTCAGCCAACACCGCTGTAACAACTACTGTCGCTCAAACTGGACGCAGCCCATAAACCCAGTTCAAATCTTTCGCCCAGTCCCCGGCACGACCATGATGAGACGCACAGTACCTACGCGTCGTTCGCGACCTATGGAGACCTTTTATGAATAATGACTACGGCGGATAAAGTGGTTTCAGCATGTGGGTGCCGACGCTGGTTTTCGCAATACCGCGCCCTATAGATACTGCCCAATGATTGAGGAAACGGCTGATAATTAGGGATAGTCTCGGGAACAACAAAGGCATATCTTTTGTAGTGATCCCTAATAACATATGTTTTCCCGGTCCTCAAGATTTCGTTGTAGCTCCACCGGAGATCCGTCTTGTGTGCATTTCTTTCTAGAGCGAATCTTTCTTGGCGCATAAAGTGACATTTACTCGATATAATGCTGTCGTATGGCATGGTTAGGTAGCTATAACCATTGATGACAGTTTTTTGAAATTTTATTATACCGCGCTATCTTTGGGCGTACGGTGGGTGTAAGTGATCCCGACGTGGAGTTATTGCAGATGCTGAGGCTCCAGGTTCGTCTGTATCAGTCTTATCGACCGGCTAATATCGTCTCGCCATTTTGATGAGGGCAAAGTATTGTCATTCAGGGCCTCATCTACGCGAGGTGAAATCAAATTTGGGACAGGTCGTGATGAAACAAGCGATAGTATGCTGACGAAACAGGTAAGTAAAAGATACTTGAATACCATGATGTTAGGAAGTGGTCAAAAAAAAGGTAGCTAGATTATGTAAAAGTTTAGTTGCTGTAAAGAAAGTGAAATAAAGGACTGCACGTAAATTCGTATATAGCCTATTTATTGTAAAGTTGAAAAGGAAATGCACCGACGATAAGCACCGTGACTGAGGCAAGTAGTTAAACAACAAAGAATATACGCAGCTTGATCCTGTGCTGCATCCTTCAGATAATAACCTGCTGACATATTTCATCACTCTTACGGATGATGCTTGCTATTAGTGGCGCATGATTGGGGGATTGTCTTGTCGTAAGCTTAGAGCGGAACATGAGCGAAATCTAATATAAGACAACTTTACATACCTAAGTAGGTAGTCAAGATGTAATTTAGTAGCTTCAAATGTGAGTTTCCTACGATTCTAATGAGTGGCGGTACCATATGTACATAGTAAAATCTATTAGTGAATATTTATAGAATATGAATTGATTAAGACTTCGACGTTTGTAATTGCCACTTCTTATATTTAATTATCACCATATTGCTGTGACGTCATCGCATTGATTCCGGTAAAGATATCACTCCGAGAAATAAAACCCACAATTTTGGGTGATCTTATGAAGCGAGAGGAACTGGGGATTCAATACCTTGCCGGTGAACTAAACGAGCCGAAGACCGAAACAAGATGCTTCAAAACCAGAAAATTTCAACAAACTCAATTATTCTTAGAAATAATCGCCTAGTTTCACTGTTGTATATACACATTTAATAACCAATGGCTGTAATTGAAGTTCAAGTCGTCTTCGACTTCCTTTGCGCGGTACGTATATCACACATAAATCACGACGACAAAGTACCTGGAGATGTTGCATTAGACTGACACTAAGGATTAGTGGTGCTACATAGGTAAGCGCAACCTCGACCGCGCCATTTCGCTATACCAGAAGACGTACCCCGGCGGCAGATCGGATACTTTCGCTATAACATGGTCGCCCTACTACCTCGAATACAACAAGGCGCCGCATAGCGTTGACAAAACGGAACTCGCCGAGACGCGCCTTGCGCATTTAACACCTAAGCAGCGCGCGGCGCTTACGCTACACATGAACCGGGCCGGCCGCGCTGCCGGGATCAATTTCATGTGGGGCGGTAGGATCGGCCCCGATACACGGGAAGCCCACCGGCTCATCCGGCTAGGCTCCACTAAAAGTGGCGAAATACGCGATGCTCTTGTCGAAGGCCTTTTAGATGCATATCAAGCGCGCGAACAGGATATCTCGGAACGCGGGGTTTTAAGAGCTGTCGCAGTAAAGGCCGGCATAGATGGCGCCGAGGTAGATGTGTGGCTGGATTCCGACGCCGATGCGGAGGTGGTGGACGAGGAGGCTAGGAAAAACAAGGAGATTTTTGGAGGGGAGGGTGTTCCAGCATTCGTCGTCCAAGGAGTGCATCGCCTTGGCGGCGTGCAGGATCCCATGGACCTAGTTGAGGTCTTCATAAAAGTTAGGGAGAGGCAGTGACTGGCGGATAATTGAAGGGTTGGGGCAGCCGACTATACTTGTACACTAGATTTTATTGAAAAGGTGTGATAAATATGCTTGATTAACAAATGGGAAAATTGAATTCAGTGTCTAATACTAGTCAATAAAAAACAAAGATGCAAACATACCTTTATAGTAACATGACTTGAGTGCTATCTCCTCGAACACCAGAGTGTGAGAAGGGACGCTCAATCTTCGAACTGATTTGGGTTTCGTAATATAGAAGAGCTTTCTCCATAGGTAGCTGATGTCTCGAGTGATGCAGCCAGGTATTTACTTAAGACCAAAACCTTTGTCATAAGCCTAAATAGTCATATAGGTTACCCCGAATAGTAAGTCGTTGTAAAAACTCTCCTGGGGTTTAGTTATTAAGCATAGCTAGTAAATATTCTTTCCATGTTAAGGAAGGCTCACTGACGCCTTAGACACCGAGTTCCCTGTATCACGGTGTGTCAACTTCGCCTTCAACTAGACGATACGTTCTTATTATCCTGCGAGTTTCGCCTTACCCCCCTGAGTAACAGCGTTTATTTTAACTGTTTTCATGAGTGTTGTTAGATATCCACGGCCTGGGTAAATAGTCGCGTCGTAGATTATCCTTTTCCATCTGATTCACGATCTCTTGCAGGAGCTTCCCGATGCATACTCGTTGAATGCCCCTTTATAAAAAGCGGTCGTACAATGGATTTTTATCTACTACTCTGCCCATTACAATACTCTTTAGGACGATATGATCATCGACTGTTATAGGCTTACCTATCCCAACCCTTCTCTCGCCTACTTCACTCCTGATAACAGCGTATCCATCTCTACCATGGCCTCTTCCAGTTTTATCCGCTACACACCTGAAGAGTTGCTCGATATCTGCCATCGCCATGCATCCAACTCTGGATTCGTTCCTACGATATTTCTCTCGCATGAAGTAGATTGGCGTGGGCTTCTTGCTAAGCCTATAACGGGATGCTGGCTTGCGGCCCGGGAGCGGGAGATCACGTATGACTTAGAAGGCTATCTTGAAAAGCGTAACGACTGGATAGTTATTCTCGAACTTCCCCATGGTAACAACATCACCATCGAACTGAAACAGGCTGATGCTTGTGGCAATACTATTACCATTTGCCGAAAAGGGGCGCCTATGCGCATGGCGGAGAGGGATCATGACGAGTTTGAGCTTCTCGAGGGCTATGCCTGTAGCTTTAGGAATGAGGTTAATACATATACCAAGGCTGAGGACTGGTTAGATCAGTTGGAGAAGTCCGGCGTAACTCGATATCAACTCCAACAAGGCCGAGGTGAGGATCTACTTTGCATCTTGCCGTGAAATAAGCTATCCAGAATATAATACTAATTATTTATGATAATATAGGCCGCCGTTACTGGGTTGACGCTGTACTTCGTCAGTTTTATAGGTTCTATAAAGGCGAGCTCCCTAGTCTCGACCAAACCGAGATGGTACACGTCTGGGAGTCTGGCCATGAGGCAGAGGTGCCAAGAAGCGCTCGGTCTATCGTGGCTGGCCAATTTCTCTCCACGAAGTGGCCGAAGAGCTCTCATCTCTATCAAGCCCGCTCTCTTCTGAGCTCGACCGAAGACCTCCCTAGCTCTCTACCTAACCCAGCTTTGGGACCCTGGCGATTTCAAGGGACCAAGTTTGATATACAATCTTGGTTTAAGAAAGATGGCCAGAACCCGCAATCCGTATCTACCCAATCGAGTACGCCGTCTGAGTCCCAACCCCGACCGGAGCACCACATGAAAGATTGGCGAAGACAAGAAGCTGGTGGTACTCCATCTTGGTATATATTCCCCGAAACCTATTAATGGAAAGCCTCCGAGTCACGACCAGCATTTTTCAGTATATAGATATGTACTGATATATCAGTAAATATGAGATATCTACAGACTCCTTGACCTGTCCGACTTAGAAGCGTCACGAAACATGTGAATTATGAGAATTGATTTTATTTACTTAGAAATTTACTTCTTTTAGCGGTGACCTAAAATGTAAATCGGGACATCGGATTGGGTGGTTATATTCCCGGGTAAATGTGAAAGGCAAGGACGGTATCAAAGCTCTAATACCGGCCGTACGGGACGGTTGCCGCCTATTTATTCCACGAGGTACTCCACTGTAAGGCACTCCGCACACTATTAATCTCTCTAACTATAGCGAGTTTAGCGCTCTGCGGGGAACCTCTAGCGCATTTGCGAATTCCCCCATCTTAGGACTTTCCATCACATTTCTCCAAATTATCCGCCAACCGATTTCCACCATTTTGAGCTTCTCTACCTCTCCAAACATGGATCCTCAACACCAATGCGGAGTATTATTTATCTATGCTATAGCCAATTCAGGCACCTTCGTACTTGGCAATCAACCAATACGATCTTGGGTAGTATCTCCGTTATGAGCGTTACTACGTAAAAATTATGCGAACAAGCTTAGCGGAACCGAGATGTCTGTTCCACCTTCACGATGGTTCAGCTGCGGGTCGGGGCAGTTCGCTCTAATCCTGCCGAGACCAAACAGCTGGGAATTATATATATTTGTTCTATGATCCGCTATATGGTTGTGATCTTTGTGTGCGCTCGTGAGATACTAGGCGTACTTGGGGCTTTTGTATACCCTTGGCTTAGCGTTGCCTGTTCCCCAGGGCAGACCTCTCTAGAGACGGGCTAACTAGCTATATGCTGCTATGCGCTTACAATCCCTGAGATGTCAATTGCTGTCCGTAGTGGCTGGGTTCGCGCCCTTCACTAACGCCCTCGGACAGCAGCAGATAATCAGCTTTACTAGTAGCGAGGGTGCTTTCCAAGTAGCTGGCGGGCCGATTTCCCAGCCTCAGATCCTGGTTTCAAGCAACGAATATTGGGGAGTCATTCGTGCTGCGGGCGATCTCGCCAAGGACTTTGGTCGAGTGACGGGAACCAACTTCACATTAAGCAACGGGGAATCTGGTGCTGAACCGGCATCATACGAATACAGGCCAATCACGCGGAATTACACGCACGTAAGTAAACCTCAGAACTCCTTATTACACGGAACATGCGATCAGTCGAAAGCTTAGTAGCTTTTAAACTTCAATATCTCTGCCTTATAAATCTTTGCGTAGTGATGGATATGGGATATTCCTAGCAATCACCTATTGACATATATGATCTAGTATGCGGTTAATGATACGCAATACTTCCGCGGTCCCGAATATGCCGATCCGTCGGCTGAAAGCACCGTCATAATTGCTGGTACGCTGGGACATTCTAAAGCGATTGACGAATTGGTTAGTGCTGGGAAGCTGAATGTCTCGGATATCGAAGGAAAGTGGGAATCATTCACGACTAAAATTGTCGAAGATCCAGTTGCCGGATGCTCAAAGGCAGTTGTCATAACAGGTAGCGACCCTCGTGGAACTATCTTCGGCATATACGACATTAGCGAGCAGATCGGCGTGAGCCCGTGGTATTGGTGGGCCGATGTCCCCATCAAGCATTCGAAGGAAATATACGTCCTACCAGATGATAAAGTCCAGGGGTCTCCTTCAGTCAAGTATCGTGGCTTTTTCATCAACGATGAGCAGCCTGGATTATCAGGATGGGTCCAATGGAACTACCCTGACACACCCTATGGAGTTGGTTACAACGCCGACTTTTACTCAAACGTATTTGAGCTCCTCCTTCGACTACGGGCGAACTACCTATGGCCTGCCCTTTGGGGCACCATGTTCGAGGTTGATGACCCAGCGAATCAGCCACTAGCTAACGCGTGGGAGATCGTGCTCGGAAGTTCGCATACGGAGCCGATGATGCGCGCACAGAATGAATTCGGCACGTTCTACACCAGCAAAGGCCTAGGTCCCTGGGCGTATAATCTAAATAACAAAACGATTGACGAGTACTTCGTTTACGGAGCGGAACGTGCGAAGCCCTATGCGCGTAATAGTTTATGGACTATGGGTATGCGGGGGTCTGGCGACACGGCTATTGAAGGCCTGGGCGTCGAAGTGATCGTCGAGATGTTAGAGACTCTTGTTCATAACCAACGGGCCATCATCGAAGACGTACTAGATATTAAAGCCGCCGAGGCACCTCAGCTATGGTGCCTATATAAAGAAGTCATGTCGTATATTCTCCAAGGACTTACGATTCCGGAGGATATTACCCTCCTATGGGCGGATGACAATTGGGGTAATGTTCGGAGAGTGCCTATCGACAACGAGACGACGCGATCTGGAGGAGCTGGTGTATATTACCACTTTGATTACGTTGGCGATACCAGAAATTACAAATGGATAAACACCATCCAACTGGAAAAGACTGCAGAGCAGATGCAGCTTGCATATTCCCACGGTGCTGATAGGATATGGATCGTCAACGTTGGAGACCTAAAGCCCTTAGAAATCCCACTCAGTCACTTCTTAGACATGGCATATGACATCAATCAGTGGGATGTAGACGGAGTGGCCAATTGGACACTTGCTTGGGCGGCTCGCGAATTCGGGCCAGAGCATGCTACAGCTATCACGGAGATCATGACACGCTTCGGCATGTTTGCCGCAAGAAGGAAATTCGAATTGGTGGAACCATACGTGTATTCGGTCGTCAATTATAACGAAGGCGATGCGGTATTGGGTCAATGGCAAGGCCTGGCTGACGATGCGCAAGCCATCTACGAGCAGTTGGATGAAGCCCACCAGCCGGCGTTCTTTGAGATGGTTCTGCACCCTATTCTCGGTGGCCAAATCGTTCACCAGGTACATATTGGTGCAGAAAAGAATATGGTTTATGCAAACCAGCACCGAAACGCGGCGAACGATCTTATTTCCCAAGTCCTATCTAGCTTCAATGCCGACGGTAGTCTTACGGCAAGATGGGATAGCCTATTAGATGGGAAGTGGAAGCGTATGCTGGATCGTAAGTCGAACCACCTCGAATTGCTTAGATATTATTTACTAATTCTATAGAAACTCACTTTGGATATGACGGTTACTGGCAGCAGCCGATGCGGAATGTCCTTCCGGCCATGGCTTACGTCCAGACTGCTGTATCTTCGATAGCAGGTAACGTTGGCATCGCCGTGGAAGGGTTAAATGCTAGTATT